GGGGAGGGGAGGGGAGGGGAGAGGAGGAGAGGAGAGGAGGGGAGCCTTCACCCCAAGAGAGGTGGGAGGGTTCAGGTATCATAGGAAGGACAGAAGCCATGGCCAGATACACCACACATCGCTCCAGGGACAGTGGTGACCCGAGAACAGGGAGCCAGGCTGAAATGAGAGGATGAGAGGCTGAACAGAATAAGGCCTGAACACAGGGGTCAGAGCCAAGGCAGGGACCAGTGAGTGGGGGATGCAGCTTGCATTCTCGGGGTGCCTTCTGTACACACTGGGGGGTAGGGTGGCGATTTCCTCTCTGCCCTGGACAGGACCACCTCTGCCTTTACTCCCTTTTCCCTGTCCCCACCACCTCAAAAACTCACCTCAAAGGAGCTGGACTAGCCATCGAAAAAAAGGAGCCCCACTTCTTGTCATAAAGCTCAGCCTCCCGGATAATCTGTTCCGCATGTTGATTCAAAGGATATGGAGATGGGATTCATCCTTGACACACACCCCCTTCCCAGTTTTGAACCATACAGTGTTTCCTTGGTCTGTTCTGGCACTGCTTCCTGGTCCAAGTATAAGTTTCGCATAAGCACAAACAAGTGTTTTGGGATTCCCCAGTCCCCTGACGGCTTCTTACCCCCTCACATACTCTTCATATTTCCCAACATCAGAAGGAGCAGTGACTCCCACACGCCTCACTCCAGGGCACCCCGCGATCATGCAATCACAGACCTTTCCTGGTACACATGCCGCCCAGAGAACAAGGTGCCAAACATTCTTCTCCTTTGCTGACGGGGTGAAGGGTCACGGCCAAGCAGTCTACACAAAATCCTCACCAGGCAGCTAGAGTCTGATGCCTTTGGCTCCTGACGGGGCGGCAGGGTTGGGAAATGGAAGCTCAGGGTCATCCGTGCTGACCACCACCCTCCTCCACTGTCCCCATTGAGCTCATGGTTGGAGAAGTAAGGATGACACAGTTGTGATGAAAGGCTGTGACAACGGGGTCAACACGTGAAGGTGGCTTGTTATAAACCAAAAAAAAAAAATGGCACCAAATTAAGAGATTTCCACTGCCAATTCTGAGACACCACAGGTGAACCCTAAAGATCTCAGGGTATGACTGTTTTCAAAGGCTTCCTCCTACTTTTTCTTTTTAATTTTAAAAATGCTTTAATACAAAAGCATTTTAGAAGAAGCAGCCATGTTGAGCAGGTGAGTAGAACCCAGACCATCTCAGTCCTCACAGCAACTTGGGCTTCCTCTGACTCTGGAGACCAGAAAAAGCAGCAATCACAGGCTTCGCCTTTCTGAACGAGGGTGCATCTCTCTCAAGTAAAAGCATGAAACAAAACAAAGCCGGATGTTTTAGCACATTCCATTCAAAGTGATAAGCTTGCACTAACATACACATTAGGCTTTTATATATATATATATAATTGGGTTTTTGGTGAACGTTTACGCAGCAAGGTATGTTCCCATTTGATAACTTCCATATACGTAGTTCAGTGACTTTAACTGCATTGATCACCACCACACTCTGCGCCCTTCCCAGCGTTCTAATCTCCCTGTCCCTTTATCTTCTCTTTTGAGAACTTGGGAAACTTCTGGTCTCCTGTTGATGAGCTGCTCCATGACCGAGAGCAACAGCTATCCCCAACCCTGACCTTGGTGCCAATCAAGAAGATTGCAATCTCTAACAATGGGCTCAAAAATGGCCTGACAGAGGCATGGCCAGCCCCGCCCCTACCTTCCTGCGACATCCGCCTATTTATGAGCCTTGGCCCCTCCTTCCCTCGCAGTCCCTTCGTTAAAGAGCTTCCCCTCTAAGTCTTTCAAGTGGAAGCAGCACCTCGGGCCGCCTGCTGGCCCACCGTCCTGCCATGAGCGCTGGCCCTTTCCCCGTGGCCCGGGCGGCTGGCCTCGGGCTCGGCGTCCTGGCCCTGCTGTCCCTCTGCCTGGATCAAGGTGTGGCAGCCAAAGAGCTCAAGTTCGTGACGCTGGTAAGTCTGCGGGTACCTTTTCCTTAAAGCAGATACTAGTCGGGTCTGGAAGCCAGAGTGTCAGGTTTCATTTTAACCTTGCCTTGACTCCTGGAGACCGAGAGCTGTTTAAACTCAGAAAGTGAATAATCAAGTTTTACAAGTTCCTCTTACTAAAGACTTTAACAAGTCATTACTTTTTTAAAAAGGCTGCGGGGAGGGAGGTGCCCTCCCTGGGCTGATGTGAGTTAAGCCTTATGGGCTGACTGACTTCCCAAGTACCTTGAGTATGGAAGCCCACGGGCCAGGTGCCCCACCGGTGGCTGTCTATACACAGAGCTGAACACAGCCTCACTGAGCTCAGAGAGCACTAGTTCTGGTCTAAAATGTAGCCCTCCTTTGAATTAAGCAGCCCCTTCCCTCAGGGCCCTTTGGTTATCAGGAGATGGCAAAATGTATCTGTTAACAGCTGTGGAAGCACTAAAACGAAACAAAATGCAGTGTGAGGATGACTTCCTGATACACAGAGCTGGTTACCCACAAAAGCAACCTTTTCTGAATCTAGGGGTGTAAAGTATGGGGGTAGAGGGAAGTGGGAGGTGACTAGTGTGATGGGAAAGAAAACATGATCAGTGTTGTCAAGCAAGGACAAAACGGTGGGCTCGGAAAGAAGTGGAGATTCCCTCGCTGGGAGCTCTGGCTTCAGGCCCCTGCATGTCGGAGCTCCTCTGACTTCCTCTCTGTCCTGGCTTCTGTTTTGCTGTCTCTGTCCTTCTCTCCTGTCCTGTGTCCTCTTGTTTTGTCTGATCTCCACATAACTGATCTGCCGTGGTGAAAAGGTAGCTGATTAATGAGTACATTTCCTTTTTGAAATCCTAAAACAGGTTTGCAACTTGGAGAGTCACCTTTAATTTTTAACCTTTTCTCCACTGAATATATGCAGAATTCCCTTCTTTCTACAGAATGTCTCCTGCCCCAGATGTTTATATAAATAATATATTTATGTGAGTCATGATAAACTCTAGTAAGTTTTTACTAGTCATGAGTCAATAATGACAAAGAAAGAGCAGGAAGCCAATTAATACAAGTGATTGTCAAACTTCTGTGCTGAGTGGAAGAAAAGATAAAAGCAGCAACTAGAGACTGTAAAGCTGAGTGTTTTCTGAAGGAAAATCCTGGATCTCTACCTTTTGCTCTGTCCTCGCGGTCTGGCCAACATGTGCACTAAACAAGTGTCGGCAATCCGCAGAGATTGCACAACCAGCACTGCAGACCTGGAACAAGCCGGCTCAGCAGCCGTCTCTTGGACAATGTGCAGAGTCCCTGCCAATGCACATGGTGGATCCTTCTGGCCCCACACTTTTCCCAGAGCTCAGATCAACCGTCACCTGCCAAGGTGATCATGGACTTCTTCTCACTCTCAATTTACGTGTGCTCAAGTCCATTCTCCCCCAAGCAAAGCAAAACTGCTGCTGCTATTGTTGTTGTGTACCACAGTCGGTACCACCTCACAGCTGACCCTCTGGTGCGTTTTCAGAGGTGGTTAATCACATGGGTGGAGATTGCCCGTCCTTCTCCCATGGCCTCGAACCATGTGCCTTCTGGATTATAACACAGCTTCTTGCCTCGAGGCCACCAGAGCTTGCTTTTGTTAGGTGCCATAATATCATCTAAGGGGTACTCTATTCTAATGACACTTAATTCTGGCACTTAATGCTGAGACTAATTGCTAGATCTTTGGTACTTGATCTTTGTTCTTTGGTAGGAAGT